TGCAAGGGTTTTTTTAACAAAATAAAAATTTCAATTTGCATCCAATGAAAAATATTTTCTTTAAAAGAAGGGACATCGTGTATGCACACACACACCCAGGAAAAATATTTTTCCGGATGTTTAAATGGAATTATTATGTTATACTTAAGTGAAGACAATAATAAAAAGCTACCACTTGTTATTGTGAGTATTGTAAAACTATTTAAAACATCTAAGTACAGGGTGCTATTAAATAGAGAGTGTAGTTAAACCAAAGTCACAATAGATAACAAAATCCTTTTGGAAGAAATAAGAAATGACAGGAAATGAAATCAGCTAAACAAAAGTTAAACATTTAAAATATAATTAAAACAAAATGTAAATTAGTAAAGTGATTATAAAAATAGGATAGAAGGAAGGGCATATATACAACATACAATATGGAGTTTCTACCAGTGCATAATTGGATTTTCTAATGAAGAGAATAAAAAGAATAATTGTTAAAAGTAGAGTAGAAAAAAAATTCATAAGCCTAAAGCAAATGAACTAATCTGATTTTAATTAAAAAAATAAGTTTGCAAATAAAGCAAAATTCAGACAAGAACCCAAATAAAATATAATAATATTTTGGGTAAAATATCAAAATATAATGGAGGAAAAAATGAAATCTGAAAGCAATCATGCAGAAAAACAGGTCACTTAAAAAAGAATGGAAAACAAAACTCTTTATATCAGATTTATTTGGGGTTGGGCAAAACAAATAGGACTATTCTGAATTATTAAGTCAAAAAATAAAAATCAGAGATTCTTTAGCCAGTTGAGTGTTTTGTCACAAAAAAATGATACTTAGATAGTCAAGGCCTAAGGATGTTCTTCTCATGGCATTTTCTTTTGATAAAATGTGCTACATACATCAGAGGATAGTTTTACTATCAAATTTTAGGTAAATAGGAACTATAAAAGTAACTCTGGGTATTGAGATGAATAAAGAGACCAACCACTGTCAAAAGGAGGATTGTGGCTAGTCCGTTTAGACTTGACACAATTCTGAGATCATCAGCATCAGGATGATATTGACATTGTTTACAAAGCACTAACTAGTGCCGTAGAACAAAAAGAAAATATAATATTTGTGTCAATAATAGAAAGAAAGACCTTAAGAGAATAATTGAAACCCTATTTAAACTATAATAGTAGGATTTAAGTCTGATTGCCAAGACATAAAAATGACAAAGATAATCTTAACAAATGCTGGACATAATGCTTTAGAAAATAAAGTATGAACAGAAACAAGTGAGTGGAAATAAAGAAAAGAAAGAAGGAATACAGTTTAATAAGTAATACATTTTTAAAACAATGTTTCAAAATATTAAATATTTAAAGTATTTTTTAGGAAAGGGAAATAACATCAATGAAAACATGTGGTCATATATCCAAAAACTACACAACTTACTAAAAGACATTAAAGATTTGGATAATGAAAGAGTCATGCTATGCTCATGGAAAATGCACTGCATAAAAAAAAAATCTATGTACAAATTAGTAACAATTCCGATAAACAATTTATTGTATTTTTATTTCTTGCAAAATTATTCTAAATCTGATTTAAGACTAATCCTCCAAAGAATTAAAATGATTTTTTAAACTACAATACTAATGTAGAATTGCATATATAAATCCCTTGCATAGAATAGACTAGAATATGCAGAAACAAAAAAAATCTAGACTTTTAGTTTATGGCATCAAAAATTATTGATGAAAAAAACAGTGTAGAGACAACTGGCTGTCAAATCAGAATTAAAGTTATATTTTATACTTTAGCCTCAAATTATAGACCAAGATTCATTTTAGATGGAATAAACTATGATTTATATAAGCGTTAGATGACAACATAAATCTATATGTGTATAATCTATCATGCCAAAGGGTTTTCAAATTATGACTCACAAGTTACACATCATAACACAAAAATTTGATAAATTTGAACACATAAACTTGTAAGGTTTCTCTATGGCTAAAAAGATCACAAATGAAGAATAAATAAAAAGAAATTACTAAAAATGTTCATCTTTTTTAAGGAGAGAGCTGTTAAAACAAAAATTTGAATGGAAAAATGGTCACACTGTATAAACAAACACTTCAACATTAATGAATTTATATGGGCAAAGTATTTAGATACATTTATATTAACTTATAATTTAATAAATACAAAATACTTGATACTTTTCAATATTGACAATTTTTTAAAATGATAATATCTGACGTTAGTACTATTATATAGGGGAAAAAAGTCACTGAGGTGCAATTGGTGGAGAGTGAATTTGTACAATCTTTCTGCAATATAATTTGGCAATATTTACCAAATGATTTAAAATTTTTATACTATTTGATCCAGCAATACCGCTTATCAGAACTTACCTTCAGGATATAAGAAAGGCACAGAGACATATGAAGAGGAATGACTTCTCAGTTCCCCAGAAGAATGCTCAATTCTGAGAGATATTCAGCAAATAAAATGGATATAATTTATACCTATCTGTATTTGGGGACTTGAGCAAGAGGTGGGATTTGAAACTGATTTCTAAAGTATCTAAGCAAGGAATAGGAACAGGGACTTTAGAGGCATGGCTATGTTATGTTTTTCTCTCTCTTTTTTTTTTTTTTAGATTTACAGCCAATGCTAGAAATTAAGGAAAATACAAGCAATATATAATAGAAAGCTAAACTTCCAATAGTCGCTGTAACAGATTAACTTTTTAATGCTCAGTGTTCTGCAAATAAACTTTTTTTTTCCCTCTCAGGCAGTTTGATGCATGTATACTTAGTTGGGCAATTTTCTTCCAGGTGGAGATTTAGTGACCCATACATAACCTTACTTGTTATTGAATCTCTCTCATTTTCAACTTGTGCCTCCTGAGATTGCCCTACGAGGTTACATGTGGGAGTATTTATTGGCTGGGCCTTCCTTCAGTTGCATAGAACACAAATCATATGGTTACATTCAACTGCAAGTGGTATTGGAAAATGCATAGCTCTGTGCACTGAAAGAAAAGGAAACAAGTTTATTATCATCTAGAAATCTGTGCCCCAATATACCCTTCTGATCACCAAATATTTTTTTTCTTCTTGTTTCCCTCACACAAACCACTGTCATTCCCTCTCCAGGTAACCTAAAGACCCACCAAGCAAATATATCCAACCCAAAGACCAAGACCGTAGATATGTGCAATCCCCTTCTTCACATCTAGATGCGTTAAGGGACAAGTGAACCAAAAGTCAACTTATCAATGCTTCTCTCCACTTATACATAAAGCACAATGATAGAACAGAGCCAGGAGTAGGGCTCGCTTATACAAATGCTCTCATTTAGAAATAAAGGAAGAATGGCAGACACTGAGTGGTCACAAATCCACAGCAATTATGGAAACATACGAGACTGGCATTAAAAGTTTCCTGTGCCTTAGCCATGGTTGTATTGGGTTGTTGGAAAAGTCATGATGCATTTTTTCTGTGTTTTTCATTGCAAAAATGCATCATGACTTTTCCGACATCCCCATAGTTCTTGCAGAACCTGAATCCTCTTGTGTTGCTTTTTTTTTTTTCCCACTTCCCCAATTCTACCCTGTGGGAAATTCAACCTTGTCAGCCATACTCCATGACCACATCTGAAGTGAGTGTCTGGGAATATATCCTCTATGCGGACTACACAGCTTTTATAGTCTGCTTCTTGCCTTCATTAAGTTTGCGGATCCAGATCAAAGTTTTACATAGATTTTTTTTTCCTTTTCTATCTAGACATATGTTTCTTTGGCACAATAGTTCTATAGAAAACACAGTAGACTCCTGATCTATGTATCATATTCATGTATCTATAGACATACTCCAAGATCTTTTGGAGGCATAACTGCCAAGCCTAGCTAATTTCTTTACCTTTTCCCTCTAAATCCCTCTCTTAGACTATAAGCCGCTACTCTGAGGCTAGCTACCGGCTTGGGAGGGTAGGCGGTGCATTCAGTCTGATCTGTGCCATGGGGCTGAGCATTGGTGGAAATTATTGCTCAAAGCTTCCCTCACTTTTATCCCTTACTATGCGACTTCTATAAATAATTGATTTTCCAAACTTTTGAGGACCCAAATGTCTGGGCTTTCTTTTGATCTTTTTCATTTCTGTTTAAAAATTCGCTATACTTGACTGGGCTCATGTCTTTCCTGTAATATCTTACTAATGGCAGAATGTAAAAGATTACTATTAGTCTGTATCTTTTTAACCACTTTACAACTACAAGTCCAACAGGCACTTAACCCTCAATGCCGAGTATTTGCTTTTCACCTGCTGTCAATAACACAACGCAGTTTGTAACACCCTCTTCTCGAAATACTTTATTTCTTTTTGATCAACTTTAGTGTACTCTCCAGGATTTTTTCTATCTCCCTGTTCTCTCCTTCTTAGTCTGTTCTGCTGAAAGCATTTCCTCTTCCTAGACTTTAAGTATGGGAGTTTTTCAGGGCTCAGTCTCCAGACCTTTCCTTCTCTCTATCTAGACTCACTCTCTTGGGGAGTGTATCACTATCCATAGCTTTAAATAATATGTCTAATGATAAATCACAATTTATCATCTCCAGCTCCGGTTTTTCCATGACACAATTTTATTTTTAAAATGGTATAGTTGTGTTCATTCCGCTAAAACAGACACACACATATTTTCAGATGGAGAAGAGGAGGAAGGAAAGGTGTAAAAGTATATAAAATTATGTATGTGTATTTGTTTATCCAGTCTCTCTTTAAAATATAAATTCAACAGCAAGGGTGATTGATATGGCCAATATTATATCCCCAGGTATCTTGTCCATTATAGATACACAATAAATATTCATTGACTAGGTGATTGGTGTGGTACACATGAATGGAAATTTATTTTCATAGGAATGTGCTAATTTCCAATAACTCATTCTAATGCAGATTATAAACTCGATGATCAAATAACACACTAACTTGAGCAATATTTTCCTCTCTTTTCTAGATCCCAATGCTCTGGCTGGCCAGACTGGCCCTGATCATGCTCTTATAGGAGGAATAGTGGCTGTAGTTGTATTTGTCACTCTGTGTTCTATATTTCTGCTCGGTCGATATCTGGCAAGACATAAAGGTAGGTTATAGTTCATAAAGTATTCTTAACTTCAACAAAAAATTCTAAAGACTAGCTTAACCATGAAATATCTTAGTGTGCACATGCATGAGAGAGAGAGAGAGAGAGAGAGAGAGAGAGAGAGAGAGAGAGAGAGAGAGAGAGAGAGAGAGAGGGAGATGGAGAAAAAGGGAGAGAGAAACACATACAAATTATTTCAAGGAATTCTTGATTATCTTATCCAACTTTAAAGTTAAATTGGCTTAGCAAAATAATCGCCGCAGGTCACAGAGTGAGTCACTGGTTCAGGGGAAAAAAAATGGAAACAATTTCGTAATTTATCTCTAGAACTAAAATTCAACTATAATATTAAGCATTTGGTCAATGTTCTGTTTGTAGGTTTATGGATACACATGTGGCCATATTAGTAAGGAAAATATGTGTTTTCTTGCAATGAGCTAGGTAGCAAACTATTGATACAATCTACTTTTAAATGGAGTTACCAAAATGAATGGTGACACATTTGATGTGATCATTATCAACATCTTAACAAAGGATCCTGATTGCTACAGCTGCATGGATCACGTGGTCTGTATCCCTCATTAAAGAAATCAAAATGCTCATTACCCACCCTGTTTGGCTGTTGCCTCTAGTTAATGTGACCACAGCCCCACAACTTCATCTGTATCTTACCTGAAACAAACTGCGTAACTTTAGAAAACTGAATTGTGTGGTTTATCATGCCTCAGACTATGTTCCAACATCTAAGAAAACTGACATAAATTTTTTTCCTAATTGAACGTAGCCTTAATGCTGCTTATTTAGTCTCACAGAACTGACATATTTTTTTCTTCCGATTCAACAGGAACGTATTTAACAAATGAAGCTAAAGGAGCTGAAGATGCACCCGATGCTGACACGGCCATTATCAACGCTGAAGGCAGCCAAGTCAATGCTGAGGAGAAAAAAGAGTATTTCATTTAAAATGCTGGCCAAGCTTCTGAGTTTTACTTACCAGGCTGGCTGCTGGAGAAAACTGGCTATCATCTTTCAGAATTCATTTCTACCATCTTCTGCTACCTTTATTAACTCCCATGCTGTACTGCTATCCGTAGCCAGTGTATACCAACAATCAGCTGTCGAAAGCATCATTCTTTAATTACTGTATCATCCATAATGCAGGACCTTTCTTACTGCCTAAATCCCACACCATTGCTCTTTTAACATACAGTGCTTGAATATACAGCCTTAACAATGTTAATCATCTCCTTGGATCATGATATTGAATTGTTTTTATACATTGAAAAATGTATGCAGAGTTGGTTTTTTCTTTCCCCTCATTTACCCCCCTTTACATCATACATGGACTTTGTCAGTTTGCCATTGGACAGCTTTCACAAGGAACAGGATTAGTGAACAAGATAACATGCTTAAGTTTAATCAAACATTAGAGGTTTACAATGTTTTCTATGTGTCTCTCTTTAAGACACGCTTGAAAACATATGCCCTAGAAAACACAAACTGGAAATACTGTAGTATAGATTCCCGAATGTTTGAGATATACTGGTAAAGCTGTATCAATTTGCTATGTAAAAATATAGCACTTGATACAGGAGCCACGTGTACGAATTGCAATCATGTCACGGTATCTTATGTAATGATATAGACCCCACCACTAGGTTATTTTAGCTTCATTTACCAATAAATTGTTACAGACATTTTAGTGCTTTGGAAATCACAGATTCCATTCATTTCTCTAATTTGATTCTGTAATTTATTTGCTCCAGGACTCACCTACCTAAACAAAATTGAAGTATCCATAGGGCACAATTTTGAGACATTTTAGTATCTGTATATAGTGCATATAATAAATCCAATTAAACATTATTTGATACATATTTAACTTTTTTGGCTGTAGGTAATTCAGTCATAAGTAAGCATTTTCTAATGTCCATTATATCCCTTTAGATATTACTTAAACCGATATTATAAGTAGATAACATGTATTAGTATTTTGTCTGTATGTCCTAGCACTGTTCAACAGCAAACTTTTCTAGTTCTTGTTAGTTTTTATTTGTTATACAATGGAAGCACAATGTTATAAGGGAAGGTAATTTTAAGCTAACAACCAGTGCACAGCCTCAGGTTTTAAATTACAACCACAGTTGAATAATAACCTACAAATAAATTCTTAGTTTGCTAAAAATTTACAAATTTTAATTTAGCAGTTCCAGAGCTGCTTATCTATGTTGGTTTGCCAAAAAGAAGTGTTTAAGATATGTTTTCTGTATAAATGAACTAATTCTTTATATTAAATTCCTGTCTATGCATTTTGTGAGGTACAAACTTATGAAACAGTGAGTGATAGAGAATTTCTGCCATGCTTTTAACTCCAAGGTGAAAGTCTCTTTCTCTGGATTATTTCTGAAATTTTGGTGTAGTTAACCATTAAGAAATGCTGTATTCTTAAATAGGACACAGAATCAATCTAAAGTCTTATTATTTCTTCTAGTACGATACAATATTGCTAGATTAGTTCTCATTGAATTTATTATATGCTAAAGTTTAAAAACCCAATTAGACAAAAATTATTTTCCCATTCACAAGCATTGCACCTTTAAGAAGAAAACAAATATGAGGATATGGTAGCTATACTTGTGATGTCTGAAAGCATGATGGCCTATGTTTTGAAAAATCCTATCTTGGAATTTATTTTGGGGAAATGAGAATGGTTGAGTACGACATCGCGTGTTAATATCAAATGAAAGACAAGGGTGCTGTATCTTAGATTATTTATCAGAAAAGTATAAATCTTTTAAAGACAATGTTAGAATTTAAATTTTTTTTGATTGTTGAAGCATTTATCTTGTTGATTTCTTACAAAAGAAAAAAAGGACGATGTCAGTCAAGCAGCACTTTTTCAGAATATACAGAACATAAATAATATGATGTGGTTGAGTGTTAACATAATAAATCATATACAGTATGACATTTTAAGGAAATAAGTCTGCATTGATGTGATTGCATGCTTGTTTTTACAGTTCAATTCATACCATCTGTGGAAAAATGCAATAATATGTTAATATAGTATGGTAGTTTGAGAGAATCAGGTAGGTGCTACTAGACACATTGAAACTAGAATAGGTTTATAAACTGTTCATATCTTTCAATGCATAATCTTTAGAAAGACTCCACAAAGCAAAATTCATCCTGTTAGTACAAATGGAAAGGTTCTTATTACAGAAGTAAGTTGTATAAACTGCATCATCAATTACTATTTAAAGCCTAATTTCAGGATGCACTTACAAAATTGCTACTCTTCATAGATGCTGTATTTACATCTCTCTTCATTTCGTCTATATTATACTTGGCTCCAACTGCTAAATTGTTGCCTAAATAACTCAATCATTATTTATAACACTGTAAAATTAGAAATCCAGAAATGGCTGCATTTCAAGATTTTGTATTCTTAACCCTTCAGAGTAATATATAACACAATTAGAGCTGTTTAAAAGAAACTAAATAGTATATTATTATTATTTGTGGGCTATAATAAAATATTTTGCTAGTTAAAATGGAGATTTGAATTAGGTATCATATTCACTTACTGAAAAAAATAGCAATGGAATCACATTTTGCTATCTTTAAAACTTATTTGATTCCCACCAAGCAAGGAAATACATTTTTAAAATTCTGCTCTTTCTATAAAAATCAGGAAAAAAAATGAAATAACATTTCTAATGGAACCATGTCAACTGCACTATCTGAAATGTGCACACTTGCGTGCACCGAGAGCCAAATTCTGTCTCTGCTTAGTGAGCACAGTACCTATAGAACTCAGTGGAAGGAGTGTGCACACACACACAGACACACACACACACTCCTCGTACAACACGGAACATTATTCTTTACCAAAAGTAGCTATTCTCTGCCAGTGTACTGTTTACAGCGTAAATTGAGTGTCCTCCATCAAAAAGTGTAAGCAGAGTTTTATTTTTCCATTTTTGAATGTCCTAGAGAGAATGATTCTCAAAATTAGGAAGAAAAATGAAAGTTTGTGAGGGCGAGAGCTAACACTGAGAACGTGAGCAAGGTATTTGTGTGTGTTGTGCATGTAAGTGTGAGAGAGAGAGATTGATTGATTGATTTCCACTTCTTTTCTTTTACCAGAGAATTCAAGAAGCAGTTTAAGGAACCTGATATTGGAGTTTAATCTAAAAACTGGATGATCTCATATTGATTCAAGATGCTTAATCTTGCATTGAAACCCCACAATTAAAATAACAAATAGAGAAAGAAAAGTAACTTTCCTAAATATGGCAAAGAAGTTAACACCTCATTTATTTTTTTTGTAAAAATATAAATATTTCAATCAAAAGGACAGGTTCACTTGTAATTATGTACTCATGATTGTAATAGCATTGAGATTCCATATAGGCACATGTACAGCAACTGTTTGCCGATGATGGCTTCTTCCATGTAATATAGCAGTTATCGTGTAATTTAGTGCCACTTATTGCAAAGTGTTACCAAGGGGAACATTTGAAATACTTTTCCTTTTTTCCTTGGACTTAAGGATAATTTAAGGAATGATAAATAAGAAAATTCATATTATGGTTTTAATTGTGAAGAGAATTCAAAACCTCATATCTTATGTCAACTTCCTGGTCATATTGCTAACTACTTAGAGCCCTCTAAAAATGCCCAATACTACCCCCCTTTGCAAATGTAATCTGTGATGAACATACAAAACAAAAAAAACAAACAAACAAGCAAAAAAAAAAAAACAACTGGCAATGACAGCTGAAATAAATGAAACACCCAATGAGAATTACTGAGTAATGCTTTTATTAAGTGGCACAAAGTACACACTAAAAACTATGCAAAATATAGGTAACTACAGTGTACGTACATGTAAGTATCTTGTACTTGCTGTGTATGGATGTTTGAAACCCATGTAATTATAATATGCATTTTGAATATTGGGAAAGAGGAAATCTTAGTGTAGATAATAGAATTTGTTTTGAAATATACACTGGCAATATTGAAATATACTCAGTGCAATATCTGCAATTCTATTGCTGGATAATTAATGCAAAGGGATTTTAAAGAATTCTTCAAGATCCAAGAGGTTGCTAATCTTCACCTCTCACATACTAAAGCATTGATTAAAAATACGACTGATTTAGCAACACGTTAAGTTTTCCTTACTTGATCATTATTGTGACATAATAAAATTATTTGCCCTAGTTTTTAGCATTACTGGAGAGAAAGAAACTTTGATTTATATCTAATTGAATTTGGAATTCTTAACTTTCTTTGAAATGTGTGTATGTTTTAATGGATTGTGGCACTTTTATTATAAGTACAAACATATTCAATCAAATGCACAAGTTACCTTTAGTTGTTAAAGTCACTATATCTTAATGGGAATTTTTGGTATCTTTTTTTTTCTATTCATTTATTTATTTTTTTCCTTTCTCTCCCCATTCTACCCCAAACATGCCCTTTGCACTTATACCCTTCCAAAGTCAATGGATTGAAAGTAGCAAGATTATAAAGAGAGCTAAAGGGGACAACATATAAGAATGGTTCTAAACTCATCAGCATTTTTGTGTATTGAGATTATGAATATTGAATGCAATAGTTATTAGATATAGCTGGTAAGTTCTCTGCCATGCATACTTACAATAACCCTTCTACCTCTCACTTTTAACATGGGCTATGATACTTCAATATAAATACAAGAAATAATTATTTTCAAGATATCCCAGGAAGCACTATTTTGGGGTTATCATAACAGTATGCTCCCCACTCCCTGGGAAATCTCAAAAGCCAAGTTCCTTTAATGTACTCAACAGTGTATGGGTCTGCATTTCTTTTTCCTTTTCTATCATTAACTTTCCTATAGGCAAAATATTATAACTTTATAAGGACAGTTCTTCTCATGCCTATTTAATAATGTAATAGTAATATAATTGTGTTGATTTAAAAAATAATTTAAATGGCAACACTTTGCAATCCAATCTATTTATTTAATATTTAAAATACAACACATTCTTATGAATTCATGTTGTGTTTTTTAAGTAAAAATTATGTCTATGATTTGTTTTCCCAAGCAGTGTTATCTATGTAAGACCAATATTTAAGTATTTAAGATTGCCTCCTTATTAGCAAGTAATCTCTGAATAATCAATGCAAAGTATTGCCAAAAATGTCCACTTTGTCTGCATAGACATCATATGACTTTTTCAGATGATGCAATTTAATTGTTCTAAAAGGAAATGACATTTTAAAAGCAAATTTTCCTCTAGGAAGAAAAAGATGCAAGAAAATAACTCAAATTATGACTGAATCTATACTATATGCTTCAAGTTAAAGTAAGGTATTTCTGTGTTATGTGGTTATGTTACATATAATACTTGATCTAATCTTTATCATCTTCCATATATATGTGTGTATATATACATATACATACATATATACATATATAAATATACGCTAGTTTCAAGAAATATGGTTATTTTGGAGAGAATAGGCCCAAATATGAAAACGATGTGAAAACAAAAACACTCTTTTCCCCCTATGAAATATGCTGTATATTTCAAAAGAAGAAAAGTTAAAAGCTATTTGAAGATTGCAAGGGCAAAAGAAAAACCTACCAGGGCTCAGCACTTAAGCACTTTTCCCATATTCAGGGTCAGAACAGCAGGATTCCTACCCGGACGTAAAGTGCGGTATGAAATGCCACATTACACTTCTCTTACACACAGTACTGTCAAACCTCAAATGTTTTCTTTCTTCAGATGCTTTTTCTTGTACATGATACTAGTAGACACGTTTCTCTTTATATTTGCTGATAGTGAAACTTAATATGCAATAAAATATGTGATGATTGAAAGCAGTGGTCACCAGGTGGTTAAAAAAAAAGATATTATGAAATGTAAACTGAATTATCTCTCTATCCTTTTTGCTTTTCTGTTTCTAATGTGTGGACTTTTTCTCATAAATAGAAAAAATAATTTAGAATTTTTTTAAACTAGTATTCTTTCTCCTAGAAATGTATAAAATTTTAATCTCTTTACAAATTTATTCAACTGTACCTGCTGTACTTATTGTAGATTCAATGATGCAGTTACGTAGTGATGCAAGGATGTGTGAGTTTGGGAATACTAACCTATTTTCTTCATATTCAGTTCGCATCAATATTTGTGAATTGGTTGTTTAGCTTTTCATTCAACCAAAAATATTCCCTCAAGAAAGCTCCATTTTTATCATAAATATTTCAATATAACCAACATTGGAACAAGTCTGCCATGTTAAGAAGAATTTAAAGACTTATCTCTGAAAATTGTTACCCTGAAATGCAGGTGTTCCCAGTAATGCATCTTCAAAAATAAAATGTTCTATTTATATGATATGAAATTCATAACTTTTGGAAGGGTATATTTAGGACAGCATAAAAAGAAATTCTGTGCTGTAAAGAAAATCTACTAAAATCAAGCATAGTGCACAGTTATTGAATCTACTGTGATCATTAACATTTTCAAAATACAAAATGCATATTGTAATATTAGGTACATGACACTTGCATGTTGATATGCCTATATACTTACAAAGTATTCAATGTGTACTTAGTGGCGCTTAAAATATGTCATGTACAACTCTTATAAACATCCTTACAGGGTTCCCATTTGCACTTCATCTTTCAGTAAAGTCTTGTCAGGAAAAAAAAAATTGTCTGATACACATGGAAAAATAAAATTTGAATTTTAGTAATCTGTTGGACATTACCGAATTGTCTATTCATTTAGTTCATTTTCTTAGGCTTGAAACCAGACATTGAAAGATGGAACTTTCTTTTTTTCCCACTGACAGGTTATAAAAGATGTTACAAAACATATCCCTTTAAGCCAAATACATAATTTTGCATATCTATTTTGAACTGCATACGTCACTCATTCTTTTTAGATTTTCTTAATGATACCCATTTAGTTTGTAAATTTAAAAATGGAAGTTTTCAAATTTAAGTGGCAGTGAAACAAATGTTATTTTGTACAACATTTAGTTGTTTACTCCTTGGAATAGATGAACCTTGTAATATGCTGACTAAGGGTTAAAAATTGTTGCTGACTTAGGGAAATTTGCTTGAGATTGCCAAAATTCCAAAACTCTGTAATTTTACATTCACTTATGTCTGTTTACTAATGTTGACTATGAACACAGGCAAAAATACCTAAACCTATTTTTTTTTAATTTTTACACTCTAACCAGTATTATATATTTCAACTACCTAAGATAATGCGATTAATAATATATCTATCCTAAGCTTATGCCAATAAGAATTTGAGATAAGCTTTTAAATTTATGGAGGATTTTCTTTGTGTCTTTGGAAGTTCACTTACCATAAGGTATTTTATAGTCTAAATAACAGATTTTGTTATACAGGGTAAGCCAAAGGCTGTACAAGAATTAGTGTCATTGGGTCTGATATTTATGTTAGACCATGAAATGTTCCATTAAAATTTATCTGTAAATACAAGGCAAGATTTTGTATCTGGTTTATTTTATTAAGTAACATTTTATTTAATCCATTTTTTCCTAGCAGAAGAAACCCTGCAATGCATGTTAGCAAATTTGATACTGTATTGAAGATCAAATTCAACACATCTGAAAGAAAATAACGACATTCAAAATAACACATTCATAGGCATGATCTTTTTTATTGTTGTGATACCCAAAATTCCCACTCTTACTCAACTCTACAACCATGTACACATATGGCACTCATGTTTTCTAGATAAATTAATTCTGTGTTTTCACAGCAGCAATTGTTTTTTCTGTCAAAATACCCTTCAGCATTTTTTAAATCAAGAAGTATCCTGGAAATTCTACTTAATATAATTCACTAAAGGGTAGAGTTAAGTCTAAGTGTCCTTATTAATAATTTGCAGTGGTTTTAGTCCAAGAGAAGGACCTTCATTACATGACAATCCTGGGAGGATGCTAAAAATAACTGCACACCCCTTTAAAACAAGAAGTTCTAGGAAATATGTAGTTATATTTGGTTCAAACCATAATTTTTTTGTTTTGTGAAATTTTAGGATACTTTTTTCCCCTAATGTTGTGAAACTTAGCAAATAAAAGTGTATAGAAAAGGGATTAAAGGAGAAAAGCAGTTTCCTGGTTGCATTTTAAATGCCACTTCACATGTTATTTAATAAAAAAAAATGCCACTACTCTACATTGCATGTTATTTAGTCAAAACATGATTATTGAACAGCTACTACGTATCAAGTCAGTTCACCTCAAAATGAAACCAAGAGAGTAAATATAGCATTTTATGCCCAGACCTTCAAAACCTGTTAATTAAATTATCCTTCCAAATAATGACCATGTTCAGTATTTTTGGCATTCTTTTGTTGGAGGGAGGAGTGAGGAAATTCTATTAATAAAAAGAACGTGTAATTACAAAAGAAGTCTGATGATTTAATCAAACTGTAAAACAAACAGCTTATCTTTTAACCACTGTTTATGGTCTCACATTTGATGGATATTTCTCTAAAGATGTTCTATGTTGATTTTTAAAAAACATAGACCTGATTCATAAGCTAATATTTTATTACACCAGAAAATTTAGGCAATAAATTCATTTTCTGAATGTGGCCATAACAATGACCAGAGTCAGTACGTTATTAAAAGTCCTTAAAGCATGTGTCCTGCACATACTATCAAAACTACAATTTGTTTTGTCTTTCTAAACAAATCTTTTTAATGGAGAGTGCATATAATATGAACACATGGCAAATTTAAGTAATACATTTTCATGTAGATTGGAGTTGGTGTACAATAATAAAGCAGTGTAAACCCTTTAAACTAATGAAATATTGCTGGAAAACAACATAAGATTTGAAACATATTTAACTAGTAAAAATGTTATATCAGAAATATACATCTTTTTTATTCCCAAATTAGAAGAATATCAGGATATGGAAACATTTTCATTTGTTGGGGAAAAAATTATTACAAGAGAATTGGAGATTTTTTAAAGGTAAACTTTACCTATTTGGCAATTTTATCAAATGGGAACATGCCTAATACCTTTCTGCTAGAAACCAGGGAAGCTGTATGAAATGAGATCTCAAAGGCTCAGTGATTCCACAAACTCTGAAGGCTCCATGATGGGGGAGGGGAGTACAGGTGGGTTTTACGATATAAGGACTCTCATTTTAACCATGTATTCTACCAATTACATATTCATTTTCTTCAATAAAGTAACTGTGTTTAATTGTATTTGTTTCCATGAAAATATAAATCGATCAACTTTGTACATCTTGCTATAAATTGAATCCTATGTTTCAGGCTATTTTCTGCTCCCAAGCACCAAATAACACATACATTGCCTCCTGTGACCTTACAGTCCCTTCTTTGGCCTATAGGTGTCATTGACTGCATTCGAATTTTTAATTATGTTTTGCTTACAGATTGTCCTGCTAATCTGATGAAGCCGTGTAAAACAGGACATGCACACAATACTTTGCTTAAAGATTGGGGCACATTTTAAGTCTAACCATGAACTCTAGGCTAATAATCTGCCCAGAGACTTACACGAAAAACATCATATTCCCAGCTGTACAAACACTTCTCATTTGCTTTTTGTCTTTCTTGTACCAAACCACTACCTATAATCTTGGTACTAAAATACTGGAGTATCAGTGCTTCTGGATAGCCTTAAGATGAAGGCTAGTTACAAGGGGAACCGACAAGAAGATTAAAATATTGATATTTTTACCTTCAACTCCTGACCTCTGGGAGGGGAGAGGGGCTGGAGGTTGAGTTAATCACCAATCGCCAATGATTTAATCAATCATGCCTATGTAATGACAAAAATATCCCTAAAGTAGGGGGATATTAAAAATCCATAAAGCATGAGGTTTGGGGAGCTTCTGATTGGTGAATACATGGAAGTGCTGGGAGGGCAGGGAACTGGAAGAGGTAATGCAAGCTATGTCCCCCTTTCTCCATACCTTGCCCTATGGATCTCTTCCATCTAGCTGTTCCCGAGTTATATCCTTTGTAATCTAATTCTTCTAAATTCTGTGCTCCTTTGTAACAAATGATCAAACTTGAATAGGGGAGCGTGGGAACCTCTGATTTGTAGCCAAGTCAGACAGAAGTTGTAGGTAACGTGGGGACCCACCACTTGCAACTGGCATCTGCAGTCAAGGGCTATCTTCTAGAACCGTGTCCTTAACCTGTAGGGTCTACACTAACCCCAGGGGCAATTAGTGTCCGTATAAAGTTAAACTTTATGATATGCATATGGTATCAGAGAATTGGTTGATGTGGAAATGTTCTCCACCCCCAACACACACACACACACACACACACACATACACACACACACACACACACACACGGATTACGGAAGTACTCAGTGAGAATAGAATGCTGCTTTTTCTTTCACCCACCATGTGATTCCCTAAATTCAATATCTTCTGCTTCTCCAGAGATGAAGAAGAAATATCATTTTCCCATCGAAGATCATTTTGACGAAATCTTCAAAACTAGAGCCACCTTTTACAAAAGAGGAAACTCTAGTAATCATTCACATGCATGGCGATTTAGTGGAAGAGCCAGATTTAGAACATAAATCCAACTACCGAACTACAATGCCTCTCTATCATGTAATTTTGTGCTATTGGAAATGCCTAAGTCAGGTTCCTTTCCAAAAATTGTTTATAAAGCATTATGATGGGCGTTCATCTATCACAGGCATAATCTATATTGCAGGAACCTTAGAGTCACCATTGTTAAATGTTGTTAGATTCTGAGCTTCTCTTAGTGTCCTCACAAACTAATAATTAAAATACAGTTGTGATGAAAATTGTCTTTAATGAGGTTGTTGAGAGTAAATAGGAACCTAACCAGAGATTAATGTTTTTTTAATGTGCATGTGTAGAGGAGAAAGGCACAGTTTGGAAACATGGTTAATTCATGGAGGTAAGAACCAAACCACTTTCTACTAAAGGAGGTTTTCGGATACCCCAGATGAGTATAAAGATATTGGGAAGTACATGGTTAAAATAAGTACATTTTCCCAACTTATTTTACAAACTGATTTGAAGCTCTAGAGCAGTGGTTATCAACCTGTGGGTCGCGACCCCTTCAGGGGTCGAATGACCCTTTCACAGGGGTC